GTTTTTAAAATATAATGAAAACCTATTAATGATACTCAATTACATGGGTGGAGAAATACATGAATTCTGATGTAATATGGTATGATATGATCGGCATGTTTTATGGGCCCAGTGCATGATGTATCATGTTAAACAGTGCTTGTTCTTTACTGTTTTTTTTTCTAACAAAGTGAGTTGCTATCATCAATTGTGATGTGTTTAATTATAATGAATTAGGGTAAAATATATGAAATTGTCCTTTTTGTTAAGGCAAAAGCAATTGAATATTATTTGTAATTTCAAGTGGTTTAAACTAATGAAAGCTCAAGAGCTTTTTGTTGACAATAGTACAGTGCCTTTCTTCCTTTCCTTTCTTGTTCCTCTTCTTTAAAATCAGCCCCTGTTAGGGCACACTTTATAAAGATCAAAACTTTGAGTCTTAAGATTACCTTTCATTAATTAATTCATCCATGACTTCATTTAATGAACATTGATATATTTATACAGTAATAGATAAGGTAATTTTCCTCCATTGAAAGTTAAAGCCTAGTACTTTGAAGGTGTCTAATAAACAGTACATTGCAGTATCCATGAGAAAAATCTTCAGGAGTATGTTTAACATGTCACAGTAATTGAGCAAATATTGAAACCAGATACTAGACTACTCTTAATTGTAAAATCAGAAAATATATGAACCCCTGAAAAATTTGTTGATAATTATTATACTCTTTTTTAAATTATTTGCTTATAGATTATGTACTACTTGTATTTTTTTTTGGCCTTCTGAGACTTTTATGCTTCTTGGATTGTCAAGAGGTGATCTCTTAGGCTGACCACTGTATTTCAAAACCAAATATAAATAATTACTCATGATTTTGACAGTCTATATATGAATACTTCTGTACTGTGTGGCTAGCTAGAGCAAAGCCTATAATTCCTTTTCACCTAAAGCATGCCCTGTTGGTACACTAAGGGTAATATGAGTAGTTTTCTGCCTCACTGAGTTCCAGTCTCTCATAAGCTTTTCATCTATAAAATGTAGAGAATGATAAATCTAAGCAGATTTAATCCACGTATACACAGTTTTCATTCTTTTCATAGCATCTTGATAAGCAGTTATTAACAATTGTGACAGAGTCAGGTTGCCCATCCCTCTTGGACTGCTAAAATGAGTTGCTATTAGTATACTGCCCTCTAAAACTAAGACAGCCATTCTGTCTCATTAGGGTTTTGTTTTGTTATTCCCTAATCTACACAGATATTAGCTTACTGAATAACAATTCATTTATCTGCATTCATTGTTTTTGGTACTGAGTTGGATGCAAGGTTATTTTACTAGCCAGTGTGTTGGAGAGGCCTGTGTTTGGACCTTTGCCTTGTTTCTTTTTAGCTCTATGATTTAGTTAATCTTAACCTCAGTTTCTTCAGCTATAAAAATGGAGCTATATTAAATACCAATCTGTCTGAAATGTATTAAGTATTAAATGAGGTAACATATAAAGCATTTAGTGAAGTGTCTAGTATATAGGATGCCTCCTCAGTACTTATT